AACGTTGGACAGAGACGACACGCCCTCGAAAAGGGCGCGTTGTAGGTGAAACAAGTAACACGAGAGAGAGTAACAACGGGAGGAGTGGCATGCAAAAGGAGGAGCTCGTAGGATAAAGCTCGAGTGGGTTATGAAGTGGGTGGTGGGAAAGGAGAAAAGCGGCGGAAACTGGAGGAGGGAGGAGAGAGGGGGAGGAACTAGTGCTAGTTCGTTAGCGGTTGAGGGAGAGGGATGGATATACAAAGCGATGAGAGAGGTGGATGGTGTGGAATAGCGAAGGCATAAGGGATGAACGGTGCGCGAGAAGCGGGACAAAGAGGGTTAGAGAGATGGAAGGAGGAAGAGACGCACGTTGGCGCGTTTATTAGTGTCCAATTGTGAAAGGAGAGAGAGAGAGAGAGCGAGAGAGAGAGAGGCGCGGGATAACACGAAAGCGAGCGCGTGAACTCGCTCATTTGCGTGCCTGTTAATTTGCCACGTTTGTGTGAGCACCGTGCCGTGCCGCGGCACGCACAACCGAGCCACGCCGATGGACAGAGAGAAAATTAGCGCTTTGAGTGTGGGTGCCTGACCGCCTGCCAGCTCGGACATCGGGGCTTCCCCGTGTCGCGGCTGGTGTACGTGCGCGTCGGCTCGCGTATTGGTACCAACGCTTGGGTGGTCCCCTGCGGTACGTTGGATAAAAATCGGCCGACATTCGACGCCTGCTATTTTTTTCTCCCTCCCCGCTTTTTTTTCCTCCTTTCATTTCTTGTACTTTTTTTTTTTTGAGCTACCAACGATGAAAACGCCACTAAGCTAGTGTTTTTCAACTTTTTTTCGTTTGGAGCTGTCTCTTCCCGTAATATATTTGACTTAACGAGGCGAAGTTTCTAATGTTTATCCGTCTTTATCATTATCGTTTGCTTTTATTTTTTTTCGTGTCGCAGACAAAACCTTAGGTAAATATCGATTTTTTTATTATATTTTTATTGTATTTGTGCGCGAGCAAGGAATAGCTTGTTTTTTTTTTAAATTTACAATTTTAAAATTCTGATAAAAGTAAACGCGCAACTCGTACATTGCACTTTATAGTACAACATGAATATTCATACGTGTTATTCATATGGTATCACATTATATGGAGCGATGAATAAAATAACGATAAAAATCTCTTTGAATGTAAAATTGACTTCGAATAAACGTTAAAAAAAAAAAATCTCGAATAAAACAACAGTTCTTAGAATTTTAAAATGGATAAAGATTTTGCAGAAAATCCATCGCATTCTTAACGATCGTAATCGATCAACCGTGAATCTCTACCGAATCCTCATTCTACGAAACTGATTTCTAAGCGTCGAAAAATTTTCCATCTTCCCGGTGGTCTCGAACGAGGAGATCGACAAAGCGTGAAGATACCTGAACCATGGAACGTGAAAAACCTGGAAACGAGTTTCCCTCGATTTTACGGTGACGGTCAGCCGCCTGATTCGAGACCGAGGCGGGGAAACCGAGCGATGGAAGGCGTGACGACACGGTACACGAGCGTGAAAGGTAGACGGGTTTCCGCGAAATTGAACATCGACGTGGCAGCGTAACAGAGCAGAGGCTCGCGGCACGGATAAGCTCAAGTTACCGCTAACGATCCCGAATGATAGCGGTCCGCTTATTACGCCGTTGCCCATCCGTTTTTACGCGTAAAATGGAGATTACACGGTGTCCAGGCACGATCACGATCGATCAAGTCGTCGCGCCGCTGTGTATCCGTTTCTGGAAACACGCGATGCAATACGGTTCGCTTGACAAGCACGGACGGTTGGCGGACGATTGCCGTTCCACGCGGAAAATGGCGTTTCTAACGAAATAAAACGATCGTAGGTAGGCCCTCTCACGGACCGATTGAACGGGTACCGGTCGATTAAGTCGTTACGCCGCGTTTGACACGATCGAACGGGCACAGACTCTCCGCGCTCGTTAATCCTCTTACCGCAGAACAAACTCTACCCGGTGTAAACGATTAAAGCGATGACGCAAAGGAGAGGAAACCAGTCAGAGGCGTTGAGTAGCGGCACGGGCATGCCACAACAGCCTTCTATATTTCCTAATAAAACGGCCAGGAATGAGAGAGCGAGCGCGCGGGAATAAATAAAGCTGCGACCGGCTGTTCGCTTCCCCGTTTACCGAATTAACCGTAATAACCGATGCATTTAGCCGCGACATTCAAAACTTGTGCACGAAATACCATCGGCTACCCCCACTCCCGCGCCGCTATATCCCCTCCACGCGAGGAGCGGTTGACTGGCCCTCCCCCACCACTTTTAACAGCGCCACCGGCGGAACTCCATCCGTCCTGCCGCGCCGCATATCATTACCATGCAAATACGCTTGGCGTGCGGCAAAGCCCGTGTAAAATCGCTCAACCCCTTTTCCTCGCGCTTCGCTTCATCCATCCCACTGTCCGTCCTCGTTCCTCGTTCCTCGTACGGCGTCACCCTCTTCCCCACCCTCGTCCCTCCTCCCACACAGTGTCCACTCCGGTTCCCACTTCGCACCAGCTACCCAGTCACATATGCAAAACGTGCCACTATTATAATAACATTACGCCGATGAACCTTCCATTGAATATGCGCTCCACGATCGTGGATTGCATCGCTAATTATCTACCGGGTGGCGTGATTCGCACGGGGCTCGACCGATCACGATTTTGCCACGCGCCCTTTCTTCCCTCCTCGTTTTTCCTTCGCGTCACCGGTGATCATCGATGATCCTTCTCTTCCCCCCCTTTTTCTCCCCCTTTTTTTTTTTTTTTGCATCGACGAAGCGGTAGCGTAATTTTCGCGACACGATACGCCGCCGTTGTGGCTAAATATTGTTGACCCCAACGTGCCGCGCTCTCTTTCCCTCTTCGTAGCACACCGCTCTATCGTATCTTGGCGATGCCACGCTGACCAACGTTGGCACGTTTATGGGCGCGTGAGCTCCGGGGACCTGGGCACCGTCACGGCACTTGTTTTATATTTTCGGTGACGGGTGCCGGCACGCGTTCGTTAGTCCGTTCGACCGCTTTCGAATGTTTGCGGCGCGAAGTGGTCTCACCCACGCGTTCATCGGTTTTTATATTACAAGCGTGGCGAGATAATATTTGCCCGCGATTTTTATTTCATACCTACCCTACCAGGGCGATAACCCCACTCGCCCCGGATATGAGGTTATTTTTTTTTCCCCGCGTTGAAACTCTATTTCTCCTCGTTGATTCTTCTCTCTCTCTCTCTCTTTTTTTTTAAACTTTTTTTCCTGTAAATATTCTGGTTTTTTCCCCCCTCTCTTTTTTTTTTTTTTTTTTTTTTTTGCTTTTCGTTTTTCGATGACGGTTCATAGGGTTGCAAAGCTGGGGGAGAATGAATCGGATCACCGAGTTCGTTATCGAGTATCACTTTTTATTTAATCGTTTCTCTCATCACGATTCTGTTATATTCTCTAAGCCAGACAATATTTACAAATTTTTAGTTCTCCATACGTGTATGTGTATGTGTATGAATGTTGAGTGTGTACGTGTGTACTTTTTTTTTTTTTCATTACTCGCTTTCCGTCTCACTTTTAGGGGACGTAGAAAAATATCATGGTATACTTAAAGACTGACGTATGTATATATATATATATATAATATTATGTATATGTATATACAAAATATACAGGAAAAAACGCGTTAATGTCAGCGTTATTCAAATTTAAGCGCGATTCAGCCGCCCAAAATGGCGGTCGTACGCGCAACGAGCGGAACGAACTGTCCGATTTCGATGAAAAACGTTCATTAACGAGCGATTATCGATCGAAATAAGAAGAACGATCCGGACATTAAAAATGAAATTTATCAATCTATTCGCCGTCTATGTCATGAATAATAATATTTTTAAATCTCTTTCTATCCGAAAAATCTTAAAAACTCGACGTAGATGTTTTACAAAAAAATCTCTCGAGCGTTGCTGCGCGATTCGATCTCTGATTCTTGATCGAAAGAATTCCTTTTTTTTTTTTTTTTTACCTTTTCTTTTCTTTTCTCTCTTTTACTCCGGTTCGTTCGGCTCGTTCTCTTTCTTCTTCACCGAGAGTAACAATAACAACAATAACAAGAACAAGGGCAACAAACGTCTCTCGTGTTAATATCGTATAAGAATTATGTACACCCACGCTGTGGAGAGTTGCTCGGGTCTGATGAATACGTTCGGTTGTTGGTACGTTTCGGTTTCGTTGCGGTTTCGTCGTTCAATACATGACCTCGTAGACGGTCGCTTTCTTGTCACCTGAACCGGTAACGATGTACCTGTCGTCGGCTGATATATCGCAGCTGAGCACGGATGACGATTCCTTGGACTGAAAACAGCATAAGACGTGTCGTTCGTGAGGCCGAAGAAATCGTGCAAGAACAGGCAATGAATTATTATTCTCCATTATTCTTCTTTTTTCTTTTTCTATTCTTTTTTTTTTTTTTCACCAACAAATGCTCGTTAAAATATACAATTCGTTTTAATTAGAATTCATAATTTCACAATATATACACACGCTTCGTAATTTATACGTACGAAACAAAAGTTTAGAGATAAACGTGGGAACGATGATTTGATGAATTTTTTTATACGATATAATAACAACAGTTTGAAAAATTAAAAGTTAAACAATTCTCTAGAACTCTTATTCTTCCATCTATCCTAAGAATAAAATTTATTCTCCTCTCCGTAGGAATTGCAAATCCGCTTACCTGGAATATCGAGGCCCCGTAAGGCGTGCGCCACGCGTTCAGCAAATTATCCTTGCCAGTTGAGACGAACCACTTGCCGCAGGAGGCGAATCTCAACGATAATACGCAAGACTCGTGCAGGTGTAGCTGGTACTTGTCCGGATTCGAGGCGTGCAACACCTCGACGTTCGAGTTCTCCATGCCCACGGCCAGCCATTCCCCCGTGGGACAGTAGCCGAGCGAGAATATCTGGGATGTGAAGTCGTGCTGTTTCAGCTGCCTTCCTTCCCTCAGATCCCACGAGCGGACCGTGTTGTCCAATCCGCCGGTCCACAATTTCGAGCCGTCCGCCGAGATGTCGATGCACGAGGCGCCGTCCGTGTGACCTTGGAACTGTCTCACCAGGGACTGATTCTGAAGATCCCAGACGGCGATGCTGCCGTCGCTGCAGCAGCTGAAGCAAACCTTAGAGTCCGGGGAGATTGCCAGGGCGTAACAGGCGGGGGCGGCCGAGATTAATTCGGCCTTGATCCTTGGCGTTGGACTGGCCAGATCCCAGATACTAAGTCGGCTAGCCTCGCCTCCGACTATCAGCGTTCTCCCATCCGGTAACAGTTTCACCGACCTGGACATGCCGTGCCACAAATTCGTTTCGTTTTAGAGAACGGTGAACCCACTTTCTCTCGAGCTTAAATCGCTTCAATCAATCCTTTCACTATTTACTATATATATATATGATCAATGAAACACGTGAAATAAAAATTAAGAACAATCGAATTATTATTATTATTGTAGTAGTCTGCC